TTAGGGGTTTAGAGTTTAGGGGTTCCGGGCTTGGGGTTTAGGAGGGCTCTGGGTCTCCTCCCCTTTGTGGGGTTGAGGGTTCGGGGCTTCCGACTTCGGGGTTTCCGGCTTCTTCTGAGCCTGTCGGGGGTCCCACACTTTTTGTGGCTAGGAATTGGGCTTGGCATAAGAATTAGAACCTAACCTAAACCCTAAACCCTAAACCCTAAACCCTAAACCCTAAACCCTAAACCCGGAAACCTCCTAAGTCCGCCAAGGGACACGAACAGTCGCAGACTCCCGGCCAGTCCCCTTCCAGGATTCATGGCCACAGTGTGCCCCCGCCCCCCGGCGCCCTACCCAAGGTAAGGCATCCTGGCAGGAGGGGGGGGCGTTCGCGAAACATCCAAAGCTGCGGAGAACGCGCCGCTTGGATGAAACGGAAGGCAAGCAGATTAGGGCAGACTAGGGTAGACGCTGGTATATAGTTAAACAGGGACGATAAGGGGATTTGACTGATGATTCCGAACCCTAAATTAACCCTTCTCGGGCTTATGGTTACGGGCCTCAGACTTGGGATCTAGCTCAGGGCTTCTAGACCTAACCCTGAATCTCATACCGAACTTCAGATCACGAAGAATCAACACTGCACTTTCTATCGTTTAGGACTAGCCTCTCGGGCTTCACCATCATCTTTAACGCTTAACCCCATCCGGAGCCTGCAATTCCCGTGCTTTCTTGTACGGCAAGAAACAGAAAGTTAAAACCTTAAACTCTACACCCGAACCTGAATCCCTAATGTCTTAACCCGAAGTCCAAATTCCCAGAGCCCATCAAGCAGCCGACGACCTCAAGCCCCAAACCGGCGAGCACAAGGTTTCAGGCTCGGGGTTTACTGTTTGCGCGTGGTCTAGGAGTTAAAGCAATAGGGTTCAGGCGTCAAGGGAAAGGTCTCAAGATCTACGATTCAGGGTGCTGCAGGTTAAGACAGGAAACCCTTGACAATTTAACCCCGAAGTTGATGGTATGAAGGCTGTAAATCTTCTCCTTCACCCTATCCTTAGAAGTAACATGGAGGGAGGACACTTCCAACATTGGCACAAATTCCGGCTCCTACACCGAACCCTCTGACTCCATTCTTGAACCTAGGCCATTAATGCTGAACACCTAATCTTCGCATCGCGCAAAACACGGCTGTCGGAGCATCATTTTGTCCGCTCGGCTTTTGTGAGACAGACGGGCGAAGCGGCACAGACTCAACCCTAAACCCTAAACCCTCACGGTTCTGCTGATTCATGCCGTGGCTCCACAGAGCAGTATTTCGTTTCTCGGGGCATGCAAGAGTGTTAGAAGCTGGAGTTGCGGGCATACAAACGGAATTAAGGCAAGTCACCTTGTTTTTGTGCGGATAAACCCTAAGCCCTAAACCCGAAAAGTATCTACAATTCAAGAGGTATACGGCACAAGGGCTTCGGCCTGAACGAAGTACTCCACCCCAGGCCGTCCTGGTTCTGTAAACTTTGACACGCTAAAGTGAACGGTGTAGGGTTTAGGGTTTAGGGAGATTCAATCAACCCGATCCTTCACGAAACCCTGAACTCTACCCCAAACACAATCTCTTACCAAGATGGGGTTGGGGTTTCAGGAGCTCTGCGTCCCCCTTACCTCCCCTGACAAGGCCTGTGGTAGTCTAGACAGTCACTGTTCTAGACTTCAGGGTGCGGGCTGTCGATTCGGATGGTGCGTGGCTTCGGTTCTTTATCGATTCGGTTTCAGGTCTTGGTGGATGAGCTTGGGGCTTCGGGGATTCGTGACTCAGAGTTTACAACCTGGGCCACGGCTTCGTGTGGGCGCCGCCTCGCGAATTGAAATGTACAAGCGGGTGAAACTGCCTAAACCCTACACCCCAAGGCCTAAAACCTAAATCCCTAAACCTTAAACCCTGAACCCTACGCCCCCAGGAGCCTTTCACTGAATCAATGATTTCATCTTCAACCCTGAAGCCATAACCTCATGACTCGGTTGAAGAAGCTGGTTTAGGGTTTAGAGTTTAGGGTTTAGGGTTTAGGGTTTAGGGCTTGCTGCTACCGACAGACCTCCCGTCCGAAGCCTTGAACCCGATATCCAAAAGCATCACCATAAGTTTAGGGTTTAGGGTTTAGGGCTTAGGTAAGTCCTAGGCAGCTCCGGACCGCGAGCTACTCTAAACCAATCCCAAGCCTAAGTCTTGTGCCTCTGCCGTGAAGGAGGGTAGGGTTTAGGGTTTAGGGTTTGGGGTTTGGGGTTTAGGGTTTAGGGTTTAGGGGTTAGGGTTTTTTTTTTTAGGGTTTAGGGTTTAGGGTTTGGGGTTTGGGGTTTAGGTTTAGGGTTTAGGGGTTAGGGCTTTTTTTTTAGGGTTTAGGGTTTAGGGTCTTTGGGCTCCAGGGTCGAAAGATTCCGGCTTTTTTGCTTACGGGTCAGGGCTCAGGGTATGAAGCTTTCACTTCTCGAAGTCAGGCTTGCAATGTAAGGCTTAGACCTTTTGGGTTGAGGATTTTAAGGTTCGGGGCTAAAGCTTCATCCCGTCTTTGTGCATCAGAATCATCAGAGCAGACTGCGATCGGTGTAGAGTTGATGAGGCCAGGATGAACAGCCAAGAGGCTTCGGCTTCATAAGGTTCAGAGTAAAGTGCTCTAAAAACGAATTTGGCTCGGAGGGGTTAGGATTTGGGGTTCTTAGATTTGGCATTCAGCAGATGCGAGGCTTCCTTGCGAGGGGATGTAGGGAATGGGTTCCAGGAGACCATTGCCGATAGCATCATCGTTACTGGGACGCTAGGATCACGACATGCGTTCAACTCATTGAAACCTACGAAGCCATACGTACTCAACCCTACTATAGGGTACCTATACTATTTTCGGGGTTCCTTAATTTAAATGTAGTATAATGGGCCCCACAACCCTATTCTAATTCATTATTAAGGCCCCTACGTTACACCCTAAATCGTCATCCACGGTAACAGGCGGATGGTCCCCGACAGCAGGCAACCTCAGGAGCTCTGGTCGCAGAGTGCCCCAGACGCCTTCATCGAAAACCGTCGCTTGGCAGAGCTGGGACTACTGGGGCGGCGTTAGGGTTCTCAGAGACGAAAGCACCGGAGACGGAAAAACGTGAGAAACACTCTCTCTCTCTCTCTCGCTCGGTGCATGTGTGTGTGTGTGTCTGTCCACTCATTCCGCTTCTGGTGCGTTCCGGGTTTCCGCGGGGTGTTCCGTTCCCCGTTCCGTCTTTGATTTCTGGGGGTGCCCGGTTGTCCGTTCCCGGTTCCGTTTTGGGACAGCTGGACGGAAGCGAAATCGACAACGGAACCTCGAACGGAAGCCCGAACAGAACCGGAAAACCACGGCCAAACGGAAGGCGAAGCGGAAACAGAAACGAAAGATGAAATGTGCCTGGTTGCCCCAGGGGGCATTACAAGTCTACAGTTTTGGGCATAGACTGAAAAGTCAAAAAGTCAAAAGTTTCTTGAGATTTCAGGTTTCAGCCCAGAGCGCGCCCGACGGTCGACCGAAGGGCAATGACGGAACCTAGATTTATAAAGCTTCTTGTTTGGAGTTCAAGAAGCTCCCAATGCCCAAAGTCCTGAGACGCCCAAACTAGACTTTATACAGGGGCCTTAATAATCAGAATAGGGTTTTGGGGCCCATTGTACTATAATTATAGTAAGGAACCCCCCCCAAAAAAATAGTAACGGTAATTATTCAGGCCTCTACATTAAGCACCTCCAACCATCGAGCCCTCAAACCTCCCGCCGCCACAAGGAACGGCTTTAGAGCTAAGATTAAAGCCCCTGAGAAAGCCTGCAGGAGAAACAAAGACCCCTCAAAACCTCCAATCCGTCACAGACATTGAAAATGGCCAAAGGGCTTTAGGGATCTCATGGATGTCTTATTCGTCTGATAGATCCCGAAACCCTGAACCCTAAACGCTAAGCCACGCCTCCGGGCAAACTTGAAGCATGGGCCTGCGCGGCACATCTGCCCCAAACCCTTGATTGCGCAAGGCTTCCGGACTGATGTAGGAGTCTGCAGCGGGTGCTGCACGGTAGCT